TTTTTTACAGAGATGACTTTTGATCCTTCAGCCCTCAGGCAGGCCGTGACCAAGAAGTCAAAGGCCCCTCAAACCCGAGCTCCGGGGCAGAAGAGAGGAAAGAAGAGAGCTAGGGACATGGAGAATATCAGGAGTGGGCCTGGCGAAACTTCTGCCCGAGGAAATACCCCGACCACACAGGCCACAGAGACTCCTACTGGTCCACCTCGGTCACATCCTCGGCCAAGGAGTACTCCCGAGGTTGTTGACCTCGAGGATGAGGTTCGACCTATGCCCTCTTTCCAAAACCAGGAGCCTGACTGGTGTCCTCTGGTGTCAAGCATCGTGGACAAGTACAGGAAGGACCTCGATTTTGATGAGGGCATGAAGGCTTTGGAATCTCTTACTCTGAAGGTAAGCTCGCCCATTCTACTTTGTTTAAAATACAAGGTTTAAAAAGGTTTAAACGCTGTGATTATTTTAAGCTCGGGTTTATATGTTGTAGGCTTTGAGCATTGCCCGAGGCCTTTCTCTGAAGGGGAAAGATGAGGCCCAAAAGACTACTGAACTCGAGGACTCTTCTCGAGCACTGGAGAAGAGGATAGCTGACTTGGAGGCTGATCGGTTCCTTCTCCAGAAGGAGCTCGAGGATTCGAAAAATGATGCCCATAGAGCTCGAGAAGAGGCTGGAACTGCTAAGGGCGAGGCTGAAGGTTTAAAGCTCGAGATCGAGCGTTTGAAGGTTGATTTTGAGGCTCGCCTGGCTGAAGCTCAAGGGGTCGCGATTGAGGACTTTAAAATGTCCGAGGAGTTTAACGGCCTCACGGAGGAGTATGCTATGGGCTCGTACTTCCATGCCTTCAAGGAAGCTCGGGCGTTTTTGAGATCGAAGCCCGATGCTAATCCCGAGGATCTAAAGAACATCCCCGAGATTGCTGATACTCTCGAGCTGTCAGAGTCCGAGGAAACCGTCGAGGACCAAGAGGTCGATGTTCACGGCGAGGACACGGTGGAGGAGCAGGGGAGCACAGCCTCGGGAGAAAGGGCCGAGGACTTAGATTAGTTTTTGTTTGTTTTTTGTATGATGATAGCCCTTCCGTTTTGTAATTTGAACATGTATTTTACTCGATGAATTATTTTCCTTCTGCTGTCAATGTATCTCGATCATTCAAATAGCCCGAGGTTAGATGGTTACTCGACGCCTAGAGTGGTGAAACACCTCGAGGACATATTCGTGAATATTATACCGAACACAAAATCATCCCGGGGACTCAAACTGTAAAATTATTTGGGAACAAAAGTGTGAACCTCGAGCATATAGACAAGTTACCTCGACGATTAAAGAAGATTAATTATTTTCGACGACTAATTAATCATCTCGACGATTGAGAATAACTCATTTTTTAAACAAGTGATAATGCCGAGGACAATATAGTCTTCTACACACTTAAAACTCGAGGATTAAGTTCAAGGGATGGTCGTCCCCGAGGAGTAGGAATAATTTTGACCGCCCTTTGCACATGAGTTTATCCCGAGCTTATATTTTCAGGCTTGGACGAAAATACAAGGATATATGGTCGGGATATGTCCTCGGTATTTATACTTGTGCTGTACTATTTTGATGTGCTGATTATGAGCTCCAAGATTTTGGTCCTTGCTCGAGGCCAGGCTTTAGACGGCTTGCTCGAGGCCAAGGCTTAAAGGGGCTTGCTCGAGGGCAAGGCTTACATTGGCTTGTCAAGGGCAAGGCTTAAAGGGGCTTGCTCGAGGGCAAGGCTTAATGGGGCTTGCTCGAGGGCAAGGCTCAGAGGGGCTTGTCAAGGACAAGGCTTAAAGGGGCTTGCTCGAGGGCAAAGCTCAGAGGGGCTTGTCAAGGACAAGGCTTAAAGGGGCTTGCTCGAGGGCAAGGCTCAGAGGGGCTCGTCAAGGACAAGGCTCAGAAGGGCTTGTCAAGGACAAGGCTTAAAGGGGCTTGCTCGAGGGCAAGGCTCAGAGGGGCTTGTCAAGGACAAGGCTTGAAGGGGATGTTATACCCGATGTTTGGATTTATTAATTGTTTGGACTGGACTTGGATTTATATTGCATCCAAGCTGCCTACGTACCCAAACGGGATCAAATCGAACGTAGTTCATTACAAAAGAGAATGGAAAACATGCATGGGCACGCAGGCCCGCTAAACTAGAAATAAAATGCAGAAAAAGAAAATCTCCTCAAAGGCGTCGGAAATTT